TGATGGGACACCCAGACAACTTAAAACATTAAACAGGATTAGGCCCAGTAACAAAGGCCCAGTACAGGACAACTTAAACTTAAGTATAGGCTAATAAGAACTCTTATCAGCCGAATACTCGTACATACAAAGACTTCAATCCAACAAGAACTTTGATGAATAACCCCAAAAGTTTCAAGGTAGGATGAGAGGTTCTTCTCAAAATACTCCTTAGCATTATCAAAACAAAATATTTTGAACTGTGTTAAACTGGGTAAGGATAAGTTCATGAAATTTTTGCACAATAGTCGATACTTCATCTCGAGATCTCATGAGATAAATCCAAGTGTAACAAGAATAATCATCAACAAAAAGGATAAAGTACTTGTAACCCCCCATAGTAGGCAAATGATATGGCCCCCACACATCAAAGCGCATAATATGAAAAGGAGAAGTGGGTCTTTTATTACTTACTGAATAAGATTGTCTACAATGCTTTGCAAGTTCACAAGACTCACAATGAAGACTCGATAAAGACACTCCCTTAAACATATAGGGAAACAAATGACCAAACCGAAAGCTACTAGTCATTTCTTCCTCATATTGTTGTTGGACAGTATCAATTTTCTCGTCTTGGGTAGGTGAGCAACAAACCACATCCAGACCAATAATACCTCCTTTAACAACACCTAAAAAGCTTCCTAAGCCTCGACAACCCCTTTCCAAACCTCCTTATCAATTCCTCCATCTCAGCCATCTCTTCTCTACTGTCCTCACTTGGGTCGTTGGACAAAGCTTTAAACTCCTGAAAAATCGAAGAATGAGTCCCAACAACCTCATCTAAAACCATTCCTCCAAATTCTGCCATTGAAGTCTTGCAACAAACTGAAGCATTCTCATCTATACCAGGGAAGCCTTTCCAACTCCTTCATCTGGTCCCAACCCTTATTAAATTGATCCACCACATGACCTTCCATCTCTTGCTCCTCTCCCTCTACATTAACTTCTAAGCCATGTGTTCCACTTTTGATTACTTCTTCAGTTGGCCCTAAGTGGTCCCCACTACCCAAAACCTCTATTGAAATCTCCCCCGAGTCAGCCCTCTCTACCTTCCTAACGTCTCAAAACTCAATCACCCCCAACCCACCGCCCCCCACTCTTATTATTAGCAACATTTGTTTTAAAAATGCCCTTGCCTTCAACCTCTCACTCTACTTTTGTTTGGAACCCAATCAACTTCCTCAACTTCGGACTAGTCAATGTAGAGGTATCACACCACTCCTTCCACGCAGCCATGTTTTCAAGCCATCTACCTGGGTAAGACCACCACTACTCTTAAGTCAAATGGTTCTCCACTGTAATGAAGCAACAGAGAATTAGGAACAAGGTGGGCTTCCTCTACCTCAATTATGATACACGCAGAAAAGAGGTTCTTCCAAGCAATGGTTCTTGAATCAACAAAACAAGAACTACCGCATGCTTCTCTAATTGCCCTAAATGTTTGAAAACTCCAGACGTGCAGAGTGTTAAAGAATATCAACCTATTCAAGGATCTCACTTAATAGCTTAAGATTTTAGGTTGAATGGTTCTTTGAAATGGTATCAGAGCTACTTTGACCAAGTGGTCTAGTGTTCGATTCTCATTACCCTTATTATAATTAATTAAGTTTCAACACAAGGTATGGGTGGGCCTGTGCTTGTTCACACTTCAAGCCCAATGGGCTTTCGTGTGAGGGGGCGTGTTAGAGAATATCAACCTATTCAACGACCTCACTTAATAGCTTAAGCTTTTAGGTTGAATGGTTCTTTGATACAGAGGAATGCCAAAAAATTTATCCAGACAAAACATGAGGGCCCCAAGTTTCTTAAAGCCCCAACAAGAGGGCTCCATCTTCCCAACCATAACTCTGGATAACGTATTTGATCTTGTTCATGATTAAGAACATCCAGAGCTTCATCTTCACTACTAAACGAAAAAAAAAAAAAAAGGAAAGAAAAGAACCCGCGTTAAGTCTCCTCACCTGGAAAGGATCATCCGGTTTCCATTCAGCCAAAGCCCAAGCCCAAACCTCTTCCACATCTGGTTCAAAATTGACAAAATGCCCTACCAAACTTCTATTGAGCAACCTAAGCCTATCAAACATTCCTTTAGTTGAACTCACGAACACCACTCTCATCTTGCCCAGAAAGAATAAATCAAAACAAAACTTTTCACTCTGCTAGACCATGGATGGATAGGTTTCTCTCACTTCTAAAAGGCTCCTATTGCTAAGGTGTGAATCTGAGGTTTACATTTCAGAGGCATCCATGCCTTCACCTTACGCCTCAAATGCAATAAAAAAAAATAAGAAACACCATCAAAAATTTGCCTTCCCTCCACAAATGCCCCTTAAGAGTAGGAAATTATTTTGCCCATTATTTTCTCCATTCTTAGTGCCAGACTTTAGAGATGTTTAAATCATGGAACACAAGGCAAGCTAAGGAGCCTCAACCAATATACAAGGACTCGAGAAAAAGCCTAATCAATGTAACACTATCTCATCCTAATCTCTTTCTATATCTAACCATGTCCTTAAAGCCATCCAACACCACAGCACATTCCATGGTAAGAGGAGAATGAGAGGAGAATGATAGGAGAATGATAGGGAAGTGATCAATGAGGCTTCAAAAGAGGGGAGTGAGAACTCTATTGAGTTGGGTTGTGAGAGTGAGAAAGAAGGGATGAGAATTGCCTAAAGGATCTTTTACTACCAGATCTTATTTCCAAAAGTTAATTGCCAAAAGGATATAGGCCATATGGCTCTCCTTGGTTCCTCCTAGAGTATCTTTATTGAGAAGCTTCTTTGGGAAAATTGAACAGTTTCATATTTTACAAAAATAAAATAAAATAAAAGAAAGGTGTTCTTATCTCCTCATGTATGTTGTTTGTGCTATAGAGATGCGGAGTCTATTGGCCACCTTCTTATCAACTGCCAGGTTGCCAAAAGCCTCTGGCAGTACTTCCTGAATTTGAGCTTTGGAAGCAACTACTACTGGACTCCTAACCTAACACTGTTGATGAGTTCATAGGCCAATTGCAAAGTAACAAGTTGGGGAGTAAGGGAAGATGTTGTTAGAAAACTATCACCCATGCTGTTATGTGGGAGATTGGGGAAGAGTGCAATTGAAAGATCTTTGACAACAGAGCTTCATCTGTAGAAAGCTAAAAAAAGACGTGTTCTGAACCTCATTAACACTTGAATGATGAATACCAAGACTTTTTTCTGGAGTTAACTTGGGTGATCTGCAGCGAAACCAGCTGTAAATCATGCACACATCTCCTGCCAGCTCCCTTACCCATACCCCTCTTCCTCCTATAGCTGTAACAGAGTACATCCTGCAATTTGATGGAAGTTTTAGAAGAGATCAAGAAGACTTCACAGAAACTGGAATTGGAGGTATCATTTGCAGATCAGATGGGAACCTGTTTTGGACTTATATTCCTACTACAGCTGCAGATGCAGCTTGAGCGGAAACTTGTGCTCTCTTAGAAAGGCTTCAAATTGCTAATTTACATCAAATCAGATCTTGGGTTGTTGGAGACTCCAGGAATGCTATAAAATAGACCAAAGGTCAGGCACCTGGACCTTGGAAGCTCTCCACTTGCGTCTTGAAATCCATCGCATTTCCTCCAATATGAACTGCAGCTTCAGATGGATCCCCAAAGAGTTGAATCATGTGAAAGATGGCTTAGCTAAATCTGGGTTGGGAAGGGATTTTTTGTATAGTGCAAATACAATGCCAAACTAAGTGTATGGGCTCCTTTATTTTGTGTGTCTGTGTGTGTGTGTTTCCATGGCCTTTTTCTGCACAGTTTTCCCTCCTTTTGAGTTCTTGAAGACAATGTTGTCTTTTCTCAAAAAAATAAAAAATAAAAAAAGATCATTACATTCCCTCCTTCAGAACTATCAGTGAAACAAAGGGTTCCTTTTGAACACTAAAAATCACTTTCTAGCTTGATAAAATAGTCACCAAGGACCACTTGATCTGTCTCAATCCATATCCATTTACAATCTAACTTTCATTTATCGAAAATGGGAGAAAATATTTGCATATGCTACAAAATGGAAGAAAAATTTTAAGAACATTTTGAGGACTTGAATAAATATAATCAGATTTAGAGGGTGAATATTGAAAAGGAATATTTACTTATGCTTCTTCCTCCTTTTTAGTGTTTTTCACATCTCTTTTGTGGATAAAAATTGCTACTGCTTTGGGCATTTTGAGATTTAAACCAGGAAATGTTGCCAGGTCGTTCTTTCATTGCATTCCCACATTTATCATTGAAAATCCAACCTTAGAATGTCATCTTTCAACTAAAACAGAGGAAATCCATACCAGTCTTAATTGCAATAACAGGACCATGTGGTAGCATGTCTATTTAACAAAGAAAGTAATTCAAAACATCCACATATTTTTGGAGAAGAAAAAGCAAAAAAAAAAAAATCAGAACTAAAGTGTGGTAGAGGCAATAATACAAAAAAATTCAAAGGCTAGATTGAAGCAACAGAGTTAGAAGCTTACATTGCTGAGGTTCAAACAGTCATATTTTGGAAGTATTATGTCAACATTATGACCTAAATCTTTAACAGCACGGGAAAGACTTGTGACAACATCTCCAAGGCCTCCCACCTGCAATACAGTTAGACATGAAACAACAAATAAACATACAAGGTACTGAAAGTCACCTAATAGACAAAAACCATAGTGGTAATTGCTTTTGAGGTTATTTTGAAATGAACCAAAAACATCAAGTGAACCCAAATTACAGTATCAAGTATCAACATCTAGTGACTTACCAACATACAAAACTGGCATCCTCAAAAATTAACCATTTATTGACATTAATTCACTGACCACCAATAGTACCCCGCCTAGAAACTAGAGTTTTGATCTTCAAGAATAATATACATTTGTTTTATTATTATCTTTTGCTGATGGTTCAGATGATATGAAACTCTCCGCCAGATATCTCCATAATGAAACCTAAAAATTTAAAACAGATCTCTCTTTTTTATTATCTTTTTTTTTATGAAAACAAAGGATGTCTCTTTAGGAAATGATACTGTCTTTACAATGAAAATGCAAAATGTGAAAAGCCAATGTTTTCTGTCTTTTCTGAAGTGACGCTTAGGAGCTCTAATGGAGGTTGAACATGAACAGCATGTAGTTTTGAAATAAAATGAAGATAACAAAAACAGACCTTTGCAAAATTATCAAAATATATAAATAACAGACCTTTGCAATGGGAGCCATTTCAACAGCCACATGCACAATATGCATTGGTGGCTCCTTTGTAATTCCTCCCAATACAGGTATGTGGTAGTCCATGCCATTTCTGTTGTCATAAATTCCACCATCTTCCTTCTCAGAGAAAACAAAGTCCATCACATATGCATCCAATGGAACCCTGACTGCAAGGAGACATGACATTCCACAAATTTAAATCCAGAATCGGATTGTAAGACAAGAATTTGCACACAGACACAAATGAGCACAAGCAAACAAGTACAATATAAAAGATCACATGAAGTAAAAATGTTGATCACATGAATCACATAAAGTTTACTGCAGAGGTAACTGGAGAGAAACCTATTTTAACAGCTCCAATTTCATATGTCGCATGGCAGGAATATAAGCAACACAACAACGCAAAGAATATTTCCAGCATTGAGATATATCTCTTCACATAAATCAGCATGCTTCTCATCATTTTATGTTGAAAATTGCTTGCTCTGTTTCTTTGTTTCAAAAAATAAATTACAAATTATCCACACAGAACATTGCAAAATAACCAATGCGGATGGAGCGATGGAGAGTGGTACACAACATTACTTTGTAACCCAGCGTCCCCCCCCCCTGCTGCAGATACTAAAGCAAGGAAAGAATACATGGAGAAAGAAACGCTTTTCTATTTTTTTTTATCAGCAACACGAAATTGATTCATTAGATTAAAAATTAGAGATACAACAAAGAGTTGTAGGCACAAAAACAAAGCCCACCCAGAAACTATTCACTATTTACAGAATTGCCCAGAACATAGATCGTCTTTGACTTCCTTGCTTTGTCAGACCATCAGCCAAACTGTTTGCAGACCTCCTTATCCATCTTATTTGGATCATCATATCTTTAGAAATCTGCTTGAACCTCCTGAATTCATTCCTTAACTTCCATATGATTCCTTCCCCTTTTTTCAACCAGCCCACAACTACTTTTGAATCACCTTCAATAATCAGCTTAGTAATCCCCCCTTTTTTTGATGAATCTTAGTAATCCCCATTTCTTTAGCTTTCTCTACTCCATAGACTGCTGCCAATAATTCTGATCTCACCACATCTCCATGCTGAATAGGACCTGAGTACCAAGCTAGAATGCTTCTATTTTCTTTCTTCCCTAATTACCCCACCAATACCCAATGGTCCAGGATTGCCCATACAACTACCATCAAAGTTTAATTTCTTCCACCCAACACATGGAGGAGACCAGGCCTCATGAACAATCTGTCTTCTAGACGAAGAACCTGCAATTATTCCCCACAATCTGCAGAAATCTCCAACCTTAAAGTCAGCAAAGATCTTTAAAGTGCTCGACCAATGCGCTACTCTGAGAGTAATCACCTTAATCACAGATTCTTTACTTCTTTCCTTGTCTTCAAAGATTCTTAGATTCCTTTCCTCCCAAACTGTCCAGATCACTGCTGCTCTAGTACATCTCCACATAATTCTATTCCTAAACCGAATTCAGAATTTTTGGATGATAGGATATTGCTATTGTTTGAGTTTTAAATTTTATTTTCTATTTGTAGGTGTCTCAAGAATGAGGTTTCAATTTTTCTACAAATTTGCTCTTATTCAAAATTACCATTCCTGGTAACTTTTTTATACCATTTCTGGTAACTTTTGAACTCTGTATTTTTAGTAATTCCCTGATAAAGGGAGAGAGGGAGAGTAGGAGAAGGAGAAGAGAGAGGGGGAATCCGATTGTAGGAAAGCTAATAACTTTATTCCTTTTCTTCAGGCTATATTTATAGCCTTATTGTGCTACAAACTAGGAATTAAGATAGGAACTACCGTCCCATGATCTTAGGAGCTTATCAACAAAAGAAACAGAAATGACTTATCTATTAAAACAGAAATGAAACAGAAATGGCTAAGGCTTATCCAAAATACTTCAACTAAGAAACTACTGTGACCGAGTCTCCTGCTGCTGTCGACTTAGACCGAGTCTCCTGTTGTTGTTGCTGCCTAGTGCATGCATGCACGTATCATTTCCTCCCCCCTGAAGGATCCTTGTCCACAAGGAAGTCAGGATACGATTTGGTGAAGCGCCATTCATTTTCCCAGGTTGCGTCCTCAATTGGTGCCCCTACCCATTTGACCAAAATTTCAGATTTTGGACGGTATTTGCCCTTGCAAATAATACGACGATCTAAGATAGCTTCCGGTTGTGGAAGGATGGTCGAAGTATCTGAGATCGGGGGTAGCTGGGTGGAAGTTGGGGTGATTGGTCCCAAATGCTTCCGTAGTAAACTGACATGGAACACATTATGGATCTAAGAGCCAGGAGGCAAGGCTAATCGATAGGCCACCGAACCGATCTTCTCAATGATTGGGTAAGGCCCAAAGTACCGTGGGGCAAGCTTCATAGAACGCCGAAACGCCACAGAAGTTTTTCGGTAAGGCTGCAACTTCACATACACATAATCACCTGCGACGAATGAAGCTTCACGTCAGTGTTGGTCTGCTTGACATTTCATCCGATTCCGAGCTACCTAAAGGTTATGTTGCAACTCGCGTAGGATGATGTCCCGATCACGTAGGTATTCATCGACTGCCCCTACTCGAGCAGTGCCTGGTACATAAGTCAGCAGACTTGGGGGTGGGATACAGTAGACTGCTTCGAAGGGTGTCATCTTGGTGGAAGAGTGAGTGGATGTGTTGTAGTTGTACTCTGCCCAAGGAATCCACTCTAACCATTTCCGCGGCTAGTCGCCTGCAAAGCATCGTAAGTATTGCTCCAACGTTCGGTTAACGACTTCGGTTTGCCCGTCGGTTTGGGGGTGGTAACTTGAGCTCATACACAACTTCGTCCCATGCATTTGGAAAAGTGTTTGCCAAAATGAGCTGATAAACACCTTGTCGCGGTCGCTAACAATGGATCTCGGAATTCCATGTAGGTGGACAACGTTGGCGACAAATGCCTTAGCGACTGTCGCGGCGGTGAATGGGTGTTTTAAGGGGATAAGTGGGCATATTTTGTCAACCGATCCACAATTACCATGATAACCGTATACCCATTGGAAGGTGGTAACCCTTCGATAAAGTCCATCGAGATATCTGTCCACATTTGAGTGGGAATCGGTAGCGGCTGAAGCAACCCTGTTGGCCTCATGCAATCTGTCTTGAAGCGCTGACACACGTCGCACTGTTGCAAGAATTCCTTCACCGCCCGACGCATTTTAGGCCAAAGGAAACTGTGCTTGATATGAGAGAGGGTTTTATGAAACCCAAAGTGTCCCCCTATTGGGGATGAGTGGCAGTCCGCCATTACCTTTGAAATCAAGGTGGAGGCGGGGCTCAAATAAATTTTGTCCCCCTTGAACCACACCCCATTTCGTTGAAGCAACTTGTGGGAGGGTCGCTTCTTCATCAATTCTTCATAAAATGTGTTGTTCGACCTCTTTTTGTAGCATCGGCCACCAATTTGCATGTGGTATAGAGATGTACAGAAATTGAAATTCGACCATACGCGACAAGGAATCCGCACCTTGATTTTCAACCCCTTTCTTATACTCGGTCTCGTAGTCATAACCAAGTATCTTTGGCAGCCACCGCGTTTGTGCTGGTGTAGTTATCCGTTGCTCGAGTAAATACTTAAAGCTTTTTTGGTCGGTGCGGACTGTAAAAGGTTTCCCAAGCAGATATGGGCGCCATTTCTTAATGGCTTTGACAATAGCTAACATCTCCTTCTCATAGGTGGATAGTGCCAAGGCCGACCCCTTCAGTGCTTCACTAAAATAGGCCACCGGCCGGTTTTGCTGGGTAAGGATTGCACCAATCCCAGTTCCACTCACATCGCACTCAATCACGAATCGTTGAGAAAAATCCGGAAGACATAGGATTGGTGAAGTGAGTGCTTTCTTCAACTGCTGAAAGGCTAGCTCTGTTGTCTCGTCCCATTGAAATCCTCCCTTGGTCAATAGTGGGGTCAAGGGAGATGCTATGCTTCCGAAGTTACGGATGAACTTCCGGTAGTAACCCGCTAAACCGAGAAAGCCACGGACCCCTTTTGCTGTTGTCGGTGTAGGCCATTCGATAACAGCTTGTATTTTGGTTGGATCAACCGACACGCCTTGCTCCGAAATTATATGACCCAAGTACTCGACCTGCGAAACACCAAATCGACATTTTGACATTTTTGCAAATAATTGGTTAGAGGATAATATTTTTAGAACAATTCGCAAATGAGATATATGGTCTTCCCATGATTTCAAATAAACCAGAATGTCGTCGAAGAAGACCAAAATAAATTTTCGGAGGTATGGACGGAAGAGGTCGTTCATGAGGCTTTGAAAGGTTGCAGGTGCATTCGTCAAGCCAAACGGCATCACTAAGAACTCGTAATGCCCTTCATGCGTCCGGAAGGCTGTTTTAGGAACATCTTCTCGCACCCAAATCTGATGGTGCCCTGACCGTAGATCCAGTTTGGAGTAGAATTTGGTCCCGTGGAGCTCATCTAATAGTTCATCAATCACAGGAATGGGGTACTTGTTTTTAACCATGATGTCGTTCAGTGCTCGGTAATCCACGCAAAATCGCCAAGCTCCATCAACCTTCTTCGCTAACAAAACCGGTGATGAAAATGGGTTGTTGCTTGGTCTTATCAATCCTGACTGCAGAAGCTCCTTCACCATTTCTTCTATTTCCGTCTTCTGATAATATGGGTACCGATATGGCCTCATACTAACTGGTCCCTTGTCGGGAAGGAGCGGAATTTGATGGTCATGTGGTCGTTTAGGAGGCAGGTTGGTGGGCGGCTCAAATACATGAGAAAACTCGGTTAGGATGTGGTCCATCTCAGGTGGATAACAACTAGGTTGGCTGCTGCAGTTTGAAGGAACTATTTGGAAAAGGAACCCCGTACCTTGTAATCCATTGCACTCCTTGTCGGTTAAGGCTTCGATGCTGGCTCATCCCACTCCCTGGAAGGTGCAAGAGACTCCTCCCTTCTTAAACGTCAAGGTCAGCTGTTTGTAATCCATCTCGATGGGTCCAAGAGTTTCTAGCCATTGTACTCCTAATACCAGCTAGCAGGCTGCAACTAGAAGAACGTAGTAGTCAGCAATAATGGGATGCCCTTGGATGGCGAGAGTGAGAGCCCGGCACTACCCCACACATTCTATCTTTTCCCGGTT